TGGGTTCCTTTGGGGGGGGGTCCCCGAGGGGGACAAAAAGGAATTTGGGCTCCTTTTGGGGGGTGTAAAAGGGGGGGGGGGTTGTTTTTGGGTTTTTTTTGGGAAATGATGTTTGGTTTTGTAAAAGGAAGGTAGTGAGAAATTTGGTTGGATGGGGGCGCCAATTTTTTTCACGAGAATTTTTTGGGCATAGGGAGATTAAGGTTTTGGTTTCCCGGGTTATTTTCTAAACCCGATGGTTTATGTTCACGGGTTTAAAATTTCCCTTTAAAGCCAGGATACCGAGCCCCCTTTTGGGGTCTGTTTTTGTAATTTGATTGGCACGTTGGTATCAAAAAAAATTTTTGGGATTTGTTTTCAGTTCTTTTTGGGACTGGCACATTACAGCAGCCCTTTCCCCCCCTTTTTACTAATTTTAAATCTTGGGTTTTAAATTTTTTTTGGGCAGATGAAGGTTCTATGTGAAAAAATTTTAAATGTTGTTAGGTTTTGGGTCTATACCTTTTTTTTTATTTGGGGGTTTAAACCAAAAAAAAGTTTTTTGTGGACAAGATTTTCGGTTTTTATTTTCAAAATGTGGGAGGTTTTTAAATTTTGTATAGGGTTTTTGGTTAAATAAAACCCCTTTAATGTGGGTGAGGTTTTTTTTTAAATATTTTTTTGGATTCTTTTATTATTTTATTTTACATTTCTTTTTCTGGGTTTTTTGTATCAAAAAAATTTTTGTATTAGAGGGTTTAAAATATTAATAATAGTAAAATCCTGGGTTTCTCTATGGGGTTTTTTTGTAAAAGGGAAAAAATGTTCCTTCCCGGGTTTTCCCATTTTGGGTTTGGTTTTAATGTACCATTTAAACCCAACCAAAAAAGGGGACCCCGTTTATAGAGGGTTTTGTTTTGGGGTTTTTTTTTGTTTTGTAGAGGTTATGGGTTTGTTTGGTTATCTTGTGATGTTGACCCTTGTATGATGTTTTTGTTGTAATAGGGCATGTCAGGTATTCTTTTATTTGTTAAAAATATGTAAAGTTTCTTTTTTGGGGTGGGGTTTTTTTGGGTACAATGGCTTGGCCGGGGAACTTTAATGAATGATTAACTTTAAATGAGGTTTGTCTTAGAGGGTTTTTGTTTTTGCATAAAAAGATGTTATAATACTTGTTCCGCAAGGAATAACCTTTTTTTACTGTTGAAAAAAAAGATATGTTTTTTGTTAAAATTTTTTTTACTTTTTTTATGGGATTTCCCTTTTTTAAAATTTTGTTTAAAAGGGTTTTTAATTAAAAAATTTTAAAAAATCCTTTTTTTTTGAAATTTTTTGTGAAATTTGGCCCCCCAAAATTTCCAATTTTGACCACCTTTTTTTGGGGAGTTGAAAAAAATTTAAATGGGCAGTTTTTTGTTTCTTTTTGGACAAAATTGAAGTAAATAAAATTTTATTCAGGGGATACCAAATACATTACATTGATTATATAACAGCAATTTTATGTATAGAGAAAACCCAGGAATAAACCCGAAAGAAAAGCAAAAGGACTTATTTAAAATACCTGGCTTGGGGTTTTCCCTATATGATTTTTGGTTAATTTTTTTTTTTTTGTCTTGGTTGTTTTCTGGGGTATTTTCATTGAAAATTGGGCAATGTATGATGGAAAGACGCTTCTTAACGTACAACAAAAATAAAAAAGACGGACAATAAATAAGGGAGTTCACTTCTCAGCCATTAGCCGCCTCTTTGCAGTATATTTTCGTATGGTGTTTGTGGTTGTATTCTCATTTTTTGGACTCATTTGATAGAATGGAAGATATATTACAGAAATAGACATGATTCTGATTGCTTTCATAACGAAAAGTACCTTGAAATTGAGCTCAAAGTAGCGGAAATGTTCGATTTTTGCCAATGTTCAATGAACTGTGTAAGTCAAGTTGGTTAATTTTATTAAGTGTATTCTAACCTAACCACTCTGTAATTCGGCAAACTCAGTAATCCGGCACACTACAGGTCCCAATGATGCCGGATTTGTGATGGAGGACCTGTACAAGCAAATTTAGGAAATTTGCTTTGTATATCTGGTACCTTATTTTCATTAATAAGATATCTTGACATGTCACATAGGTTATTATACTGTCTGTCTGGAGTGCTAGTATAACCAAGGTTATATACCATACCTGGAGTGCTAGTATAACCAAGGTTATATACCATACCTGGAGTGCTAGTATAACCAAGGTTATATACCATACCTGGAGTGCTAGTATAACCAAGTTATATACCATTCCTGGAGTGCTAGTATAACCAAGATTATAGCCCATACCTGGAGTGCTAGTATAACCAAGATTATAGCCCATACCTGGAGTGCTAGTATTTATTTATTTATTTATTTATTATTTATTTAGTAATTTGAGCATATATACAGAGGTACAAAAAAATACAGGTAAGAGCAGCATGCCAAAGCCACTTATATGCATAGCATTATGGGCTGGCTTAAAATTAACTTAAGATTAACTAAGCAATGATGAAATCAGTGATAAGACATTATTGTAAACAGATAACTATAAAGCACAAATGAGTATTACAAAGACAGGTCACATGGTTGCATGCATTGCTGTACATTCAGTCGAATGGAGTATTCTGTTAGATTGGGTTTTAGGTTTAACATTTATGTGATATAATTGTGAGAAACATTTAAGATATACAATTTATATGGTTCAGTTATTCAGTATTTATTTGGTTTTGGGTGAGTAAGTGATCTTTGAGAAGAGACTTGAATTTATAAACAGGTAGTGTTTCTTTTATATTTACAGGTAATGAATTCCAGATTTTAGGGCCTTTTATGTGCATTGAGTTTTTGCATAGCATGAGATGGACACGAGGAACATCAAAGAGTGATCTGTGCCTTGTGTTATGGTCATGTGTTCTGTTGATGTTGGCAAGGAGATGTTGAGGGGAGGGTTAATAATCAGAGTTAAGTGTTCTATGTATGTAATAGGTGCAATAATAAGTATGGATGTTTTGTATGGTGAGTACCTGGAGTTTACCTGGAGAGAGTTTCGGGGGTCAACGCCCCCGCGGCCCGGTCTGTGACCAGGCCTCCTGGTGGATCAGCGCCTGATCAACCAGGCTGTTGCTGCTGGCTGCACGCAAACCAACGTACGAGCCACAGCCCGCTGATCAGGAACTGACTTTAGGTGCTTGTCCAGTGCCAGCTATGAAGACTGCCAGGGGTCTGTTGGTAATCCCCCTTATGTGTGCTGGGAGGCAGTTGAACAGTCTCGGGCCCCTGACACTTATTGTATGGTCTCTTAACGTGCTAGTGACACCCCTGCTTTTCATTGGGGGGATGGTGCATCGTCTGCCAAGTCTTTTGCTTTCGTAGTGAGTGATTTTCGTGTGCAAGTTTGGTACTAGTCCCTCTAGGATTTTCCAGGTGTATATAATCATGTATCTCTCCCTCCTGCGTTCCAGGGAATACAGGTTTAGAAACCTCAAGCGCTCCCAGTAATTGAGGTGTTTTATCTCCGTTATGCGCGCCGTGAAAGTTCTCTGTGTGAGTAGGTGGAGTGTGCTGCCTGTAGTGAGAATTTGTTATCATTCTAACTGCAGCCTTTTGTTGGGTAATTAGTGGTCCGAGATGGTTAATTGTTGTTGAGCCCCATGCACAAATTCCATAGGTGAGATAGGGGTAAATAAGAGAGTGATATAGGGCCAGGAGGGCTGACTGTGGAGCATAGTACCGTATCTTCGATAGTATGCCTACAGTCTTGGAAATAGTATAACCAAGGTTATATACAATACCTGGAGTGCTATTATAACCAAGGTTATATACCATACCTGGAGTGCTAGTATATCCAAGGTTATATACCATACCTGGAGTGCTAGTATAACCAAGATTATATCCCATACCTGGAGATGCTAGTATAAACAGGTATATACCATACCTGGGAGTGCTATTTATATACCAAGGTTAATAAACTGGAGTGCTAGTATATCCAAGGTTATATACCATACCTGGAGTGCTATTATAACCAAGGTTATATACATACCTGGAGTGCTAGTATAACCAAGGTTATATACCATACCTGGAGTGCTATTATAACCAAGGTTATATACATACCTGGAGTGCTAGTATATCCAAGGTTATATACCATACCTGGAGTGCTAGTATAACCAAGTTATATACCATACCTGGAGTGCTAGTATAACCAAGTTATATACATACCTGGAGTGCTAGTATAACCAAGGTTATATACCATACCTGGAGTGCTATATAACCAAGGTTATATACATACCTGGAGTGCTATATAATCCAAGGTTATATACCATACCTGGAGTGCTAGTATAACCAAGTTATATACCATACTTGGAGTGCTAGTATAACCAAGTTATATACCATACTTGGAGTGCTAGTATAACCAAGGTTATATACCATACTTGGAGTGCTATTATTATTAATTATATTCTGCATTACATTCAAAGGGGAAGCACTAAACCCACAGCTGAAATTAGTGTTTGAGGAAATGAGAAGCAGATGTGGTTCACTCCAAGGAAGAGAATGACAACTCCAGTTCCTTGGATCAATTGTCTATCACATCTGGAGTGTACCTGGAGAGGTTTTTGGGGGTCAAGGCCCCCGCGGCCTGGTCTGTGACCCAGTTTGGTGGTGGACCACTGATCAACCAAGTTGTTTCTGCACTTACATGCTAACACACGGGATATTTATCTCTTGCTAAACAAAACAGGCCTATGAAGGCCTAAATTACTTGCCAGGTGGCATATATAACACAAAATACCAGCAAATAATGGTATATAAGTGGTAGAGAAGAGGAACTGGAAGAAATATATTGGAGTAAGATACAAGCGGAGGGAAGGTCAATGTTTACCATCAACATAAGAACAAAAGTTAGGTCTATGAGGTCATCAATAACTCACATCACTCTCAACAAAAATATTTCTCACCTCATCACTCATCTGGACGATCATCTCATTTAAAACACACAAAAAAATAAATTCACCTGCAGGATAAATTCTTCTTTCTGTCTTTGTTGGGTTTATAAGGGCCACTGACAGAATACGCTGTATCGAGCCCGGTTTCTCGATGGTACGAGAAAAAAATTGTTGCCCAATGCTGGGCGATGAGAGAAAAGGAACAAAAGTTCCTGTGTAAACTGAGATAGAAACTTGAAGTTTCCAATTAGATCCGGTGAACCCCCTTGCCCAGCCCCAGCAGAGATGGACGCCCACACCCCCACCTGAGTTCAGTAACCGGCTTCCTACTAAAGACCGATAAAGAATTATCCTCAGAGAGGATAAAATAGCGCTGGTTAAAAGTAAGCCGATGACCAGGTGCCCCTAGACCTAAACAGGAGTCTTCTGGCAAGGCTGCATCTGCTCTTGTTGCCACCTCCCTAGTTAAGAACGATAATAAAAAATTGTTGAAATAGGCATAAGAATTAACAACTGGGCGTCTACACTGTAAACTAAATTGTTTGCAATCCTAAAGGGGCGCTAAAGCTAACTTATCACACTGAGCTTGACTCGGTCATCATTAATTCTATGTCATCATTGAAGGAAATATAACAACTCTTAACATGCTCATTGGAGAAGCCAGGTATAGGTCCCTCAAAAATCTGGGACAAAGGAATTAATGCAACAATTGCTAGGGAACCCATCAGTTTTTTAGTTTAATTGTTTTATTATGCACCCCATACCCATCCTGTGGGGGGTAGTCAAAAGATTACAGAGGTACATAAATTTGGGCCAGGACTGGACTCCAAAGTTTTGATAGCTGAGGGAAGTTACAAAGGTAATGAACTAGATCTGGTCATAATCATGACCAAGTTACAAAGGTAATGAGGCTCCAGTTGAGCTGGCACACTCATGAATAATTGCAAAGGTAATGAATCATAAACACATTAATCATGAGAATTTACAAAGGTAATGAGCTCCAGGTAGAGCTGGTCACAATCATGACAAGTTTCAAAGGTAATGAATAATAAACACGTTATGACATGATTACAATCATAGAAAAATTAAACAGATTTAATGAGCAGTTAACATAGTAGGGAATTCATCCACTCCCCCAACAGATGTTGCCAAAGGTGCCTGTCTCTCCTCGGCAGACACCATTGCAAACAGCAGCAAGTTGCCCCGGGATCTGCTGCTTGCACGAACACCATCGACCCTCCCCAAGAGGTCCAAGAACCCATCACACATTGGATTACTTACCTAGAGTTTACCTGGAGAGGGTTTCGGGGTCAACGTCCTCGCAGCCCGGGTCTGAGACCAGGCCTCATAGTGGATCAGGGTCTGATCAACCAGGCTGTTACTGCTGGCTGCACGGAAGCTGACGTACGAACCACAGCCCGGGTTTTGGTCGGTACTGACTTTAGGTGCCTGCCCTGCCTACTTGAAGACAGTCAGGGGTCTATTGGTAATCCCTCTTAGGGTATGCTGGGAGGCAACTGAAAGTCTAAAGGCCCCGGACACTTATTGTGTTGTCTCTAAATGTACTCTGTTGCGCCCCTGCTTTCACCGGGGAATGTTGCATCTCCTGCCGTGTCTTTTGCTTCATAGGGAGTGATTTCATGTGCAGGTTTGGTGCCAATCCTTCCAGGACCTTCCAAGTGTATATTATCATGTATTTCTCGCCTGCGTTCGAGGGAATACGGATCAAGGACCTTCAACTGTTCCCAGTAATTTAGGTGCCTTATCGTACTTACGTGTGCCGTGAAAGTTCTTCGTACACTCTCCAGGTCTGCAATGTCGCCAGCCATAAAGGGCCGTTAGTGTACAGCGGAAATTCCAGCCTAAAAGAACAAGTGATTTGAAGAGAATCATCATATCAACCAATCAATCAAAGTTTATTCTCCATAAAGATTACAATGTGGGGTTTACATATTATAAAATATTGGTTACAATGTGTGATTTACATATTATAAAATACTAATTACAGAGAGGGCCACTATCATGCCTAGCATGACTAGGCATTTCGGGCAGACTTAGAATAATTCAAATTTTATATTGATATAGGTAATGGAGCATGTTGATATTAAGGCTACTTTTGTAACTTGTGAGTTCATTACCTTTGTATCTAGTTCAGCTATCAAAACTTTGGGGGCCCAGTCCCTGGACCCATTACGTACCTCTGTAATCTGTAAATACCTTTGTAACTTGTCATGATTGTGACCAGACCTACCTGGAGTTCATTGCCTTTGTAAATTGTGAGTTCATTACCTTTGTAAATTGTGAGTTCATTACCTTTGTAACTTGCTCAGCTATCAGAACTTTGAGGCCCAGTCCCTGGACCCATTATGTACCTCTGTAATCTTTTGACTACCGCCCACAAGATGGGTATGGGGTGCATAATAAATATGTTAAACTAAACAACTATTAAGGCTAGGTAACTGCATTTCAGTTTGTAAATTTAGCAATGAGAATGGTTTTGTATTGGCATGATACATAGTTTCTATTAAAGTAAGTAAGTAAGTAAGTAAGTAAGTAAGTTTATTCAGGTATACACAAATACAGTTACATAGAATTATCATACATAGCAGCATAATTGAGGTTCAGTCATGTATGCGCGGAGCCCCAGACCGACATAATGAGATTAGTCACGAGGGAGCATTCACCAAATTCAACTTCAATAACAAAAACATAAAGTGGGACCAAGTAAACCAAGTCCTAACCGATATAAGCTGGGAAGATATACTAAGCAACACAGACCCCAACTTATGCCTAGAACAGATTAACTCGGTAGCACTCGATGTATGCACAAGGCTTATTCCTCTAAGAAAAAGGAGGAGTAGATGTAAAACAGAAAGAGACAGGCGCTCCCTTTACAGGCGACGGAAAAGAATAACAGAGCGGCTAAAAGAGGTCAATATATCTGAAATGCGTAGGGAGCACTGGTCAGAGAAATAGCAAGAAATCGAACTTAAGCTAAAAGAACCCTTTAGAAGTCAGGAATCGCGGGAAAAAACTAAAACCCATAAATGAAATCGAAAAAAACCCCAAAAGTATTTCTTCTCCTATGCAAATCAAAATCGAGAACAACGTCCAGTATTGGGCCCCTACTTAAACAAGATGGGTCCTACACAGATGACAACAAGGAAATGAGTGAGCTACTCAAGTCCCAATATGACTCAGTTTTTTGCAAGCCGCTAACCAGACTGAGAGTCGAAGATCAAAAAAGAATTTTTTATGAGAGAGCCACAAAATTTGATTACACAAGCCTATCCGATGTTATCCTGACGCCAAATGACTTCGAAACAGGCGATAAATGACATGCCCATGCACTTTTGCCCCAGGGCCAGACTCATGGAACTCTGTGGGTTTATCAAGAACTGCAAGAAGCCCCTATCACGAGCCTTTTCCATCCTATGGGAGAGGGAGCATGGACACGGGGTCGTCCCACCCGTTACTAAAAACAACAGACATAGCCCCCCCCCCACAAAGGGGGCAAGTAAAGCAACAGCAAAGAACTACAGACCAATAGCACTAACATCCCATATCATAAAAATCTTTGAAAGGGTCCTAAGAAGCAAGATCACCACGCATCTAGAAACCCATCAGTTACACAACCCAGGGCAACATGGGGTTTAGAACAGGTCGCTCCTGTCTGTCTCAACTATTGGACCACTACGACAAGGTCCCTGAATGCACTAGAAGACAAAAAGAATGCAGATGTAATATATACAGACTTTGCAAAAGCCTTCGACAAGTTTTGACCATGGCGTAATAGCGCACAAAATGCATGCTAAAGGAATAACAGAAAAGTCGGTCGATGGATCTATAATTTCCTCACTAACAGAACACAGAGAGTAGTCGTCAACAGAGTAAAGTCCGAGGCAGCTACGGTGAAAAGCTCTGTTCCACAAGGCACAGTTTCTCGCCCCATCTTGTTCCTCATCCCTTTTATCCGACATAGACAAGGATGTCGCCACAGCACCGTGTCTTCCTTTGCAGATGACACCCGAATCTGCATGACAGTGTCTTCCATTGCAGACACTTTCAAAGCTCCAGGGAGACATCAACCAAATCTTTCAGTGGGCTGCAGAAAAAAAAATATGAAGTTCAACGATGAGAAATTTCAAATTTCTCAGATATGGTAAACATGAGGAAATTAAATCTTCATCAGAGTACAAAACAAATTCTGGCCACAAAATAGAGCGAAAAACCAACGTCAAAGACCTGGGAAATGATCATGTCGGAGGATCTCACCTTCAAGGACCATAACATTGTATCAATCGCATCTTGCTAGAAAAATGACAGGATGCATAATGAGAACCTTCAAAACTAGGGAGGCCAAGCCCATGATGACACTCTTCAGGTCACTTTTCTATCTAGGCTGGAAAAATTGCTGACACACTAACAGCACCTTTCAAGGCAGGTGAAATTGCCGACTAGAAAATGTACAGAGAACTTTCACGGCGCGCATAAAGGAGATAAACACCTAATTATTGGGAGCGCTTGAGGTTTCTAAACCTGTATTCCCCGGAACGCAAAGGGGGGAGAATACATGATTATATACACCTGGAAAATCCTAGAGGGACTAGTACCGAACTTGCACACGAAAACACCCACTACGAAAGCAAAAGACTTGGCAGACGATGCACCATCCCCCAATGAAAAGCAGGGGTGTCACTAGCACGTTAAGAGACCATACAATAAGTGTCAGGGGCCCGAGACTGTTCAACTGCCTCCCAGCACACATAAGGGGGATTACCAACAGACCCCTGGCAGTCTTCAAGCTGGCACTGGACAAGCACCTAAAGTCAGTTCCGGATCAGCCGGGCTGTGGCTCGTATGTTGGTTTGCGTGCAGCCAGCAGCAACAGCCTGGTTGATCAGGCTCTGATCCACCAGGAGGCCTGGTCTCAGACCGGGCCGCGGGGGCGTTGACCCCCGGAACTCTCTCCAGGTAAACTCCAGGTAATGTGTGTAGAGAACCTAGGATAACCCAAAAAAGTCAGACAGAGTGACTTATTTCCATTGGGGTTCTTTTACCTTATTATTATAATATAAAGGTTATAATATTTTCTTATTATTCTACAATG